TTCCCATTGAAGTTCCATTGTGAACATACGAAAAAATATACCATATATACGACCCTAATACCCTACCCTGCGCACTGTTGCTAATAATAACAAGTGTCATACCTAGGCATTAATGTAGAGAAGTATAATGAGAGGGACACAACACAGATTCTAGTATATAACCATTGAAAAAAAAGGATGAAAATACTCACCTTTTGGAGGTGATGTAGGAGGGGGTGTGGGAGATTTGGGAGGTGGTTGAAGCTTCTGTGGTGGCGTGGGTGGTGGTTCCATTCGTGTAATGGGACTATAAACTCTCACTGCATCCTCGATATTGAAGTCTTCATCTCCAAGGTAACCATAGTCTGATATGTCATCCCCATCTTCCAATCCATCTTCAAGACTATCTATTATTTCTATGCTAAGTATCTCCAATTCTTCTGTTCAAACAAATATAGAACATTGATCAGAATATGGCAAGTTTCATTATTTCATTCAATCTCCAAATTAACAGCTGAGTTTTTTAAGATGTTCACATGCATTCATTTACTGAATATCAGACAAGATATACAGTAGAGCACCATCTAGTGGCTGCTTTGTATCTTTACTTTGTTTTCATGACAATTTGATTGAAATCACTTTGAAAGTTTATCATTAAAAGAATAATACAGAGATGAAAACTCACTCATCTTTATAAACTCAAATTTAGGCAAATGATCATCTAGTTTTACAAAGTAGAAATGATGTAAAATGATTAGTTTACTGAAAATGATCTAAAATCAAATGACTTAAAATTGCAATGGAGAAAACAAAAGGCAGATTTATAATGTAAACAACATAGGTAATAGTTTTCCATGAAACCTTAGGTGCAATCCTGGTATTTGAAATATCAATTAAGATTTTAGGGATTTGTGTAAATGTTATGTTTGCACAATCCACTTGGTTATAGAACTGGTGTTTAACAATGGTCTGTGGGGAAATTATAGACTGCATGATTTCCCTGTAGAGTGACAGAATATAGATGAAATTTTACAACAACAAATAAATAAATACCTTCAGTTGGTAAGGTGGTATAAAGCTGGTATTAGAGACAGTCAGTGGTTTACAAAAAGTCATTCTGAACTTTAGATTAAAGTGTTAAAACAAACGATCCATGAATAATATGTATACTATAGTAATCGTAGAAAGATATTCTCTTGGCTGCACAGAATACAATATATTTTGGACAATACTTCAACTTGTGCACATCAATAATTCAACCACTGAAAATGTCTTTATTTTATTCATGCATGGCTTTGTTGTGTTCAAGGAGTTAGAAATCAAGGCAGACAAGCTATGGAGACGCAATCTAAACATATACATGTAGTATACTCCACAACAATGGATGGAATGAGAAGTTCAATAACAAACAAGACTTCTCTTCTTGAGAGAGACTTGACTATGTACACATTAATAATTACTGTATACACATACAAGTTGCTTCAACTCTCTGAATGCTAAAGTCAAATTATTAAATATTATAGTATTGTTTTCAGAAATTTAATCTAGCTAATGAGAAATTATGTTCATTTAGCTATCATATTAAGTCAACATTTCACAAGAAAAATTGAAATTTAAAATTAGCTGAGATTGAATTATTATTGACATACTATTGACAATTGATAAACTAGACTGAGTTATAAGAATATAAACATTAAGAATGCAATTACAGTGGAAATACATCCACTAAGGGACTGTGACCCATACTATTATAAGCAGAAATGAGATTTCAATGTAAATGATGATATCAACAAACATTGGAATACTTAAAGCACTCAGCAATCACTTTGTCAATTGTGGCAGAATATGTTCACTTTAACTCTCTTACATTATATTTTTTTGGTTCAAAATTTGTTTTTGTTATTTAATGCTGTTTATTTTGTTGAAAGGCTTCATTGAATCTACTGCCAAAATTGAAATGTAACATTTTCCATACAGCGTCAATAAAACACTATAATACTATACTTTCCTGTATGTGCTCATTGTAAGAATGCTTGTCATGCATGTACAGGGAATAGACATGGTGGTAAACAACACAAAGAGTGTATTGAAAACTTGTATATTTCACGGTCTCCAGACTTTTCTGCAACAGACATGCTATTCAGTCACCATTGTTGATCAGTCTATCACTGGCTGCAGATGGATGGGTAAACACAGCCTAAGTTAACATGCCTGCTGACACCATTTTTCTCATTGATTTTGTTATTACATTTGTAGCGCACAGTACACATAGGTAACTAAGTGAGAATTGAATCTTACCTGGTATAAATGCATTAACAATGTCAAACATAAAGTCATTGCTATACTTGATATCAGGAGGAATCTCTTCTTCACGTTCATCACTTTCTTCAGGAGGGGGAGGAGGAGGAGGACTCTTCAATGGTGTGGGTAGTCTAATTGGTTCTGGGGGTTTCTTTGGTGGCGCTGCAGAGAAATAAACAAACACTTATAAATGATTTGATAATTTGGTTTTCAAACTTCCCCTGAACTCAATATTTGACGATTTTATTTTCACAGAGGTAACGTACATTATAAACATGGTTTACATAATATATTTATATGAAACGACATAGACATGATATACATATGATACGTACACATACAATTTTTTATTCAGTTGTTATATACAATTATAGAACAGGTGTTAGTAAAACAAAAACAAATGCTGAAAGTTATCACATGAAGAACAGAAAACAATTACACATTCATGAAAAAAACACATTATAACCAAGATCACCATTAAATTTCATAAAAACAATTATATTAATACTTGCGTCACTATCAATATAAACAAATAACCTTTGACCCCTAACCCTTGTTTTGTTTTACAAGAACCACAGCATAATAATGTGACCCAAGGTTAGATATCTGCATATAAAAAAATATTTCCAGAGCAGATAGCAGAATGGTATGAATTTGACAAACAATTTTAGCATATTTACAATGTAGCTGTGACGATTTAGCTGTAAGTAAAATTGCAGACCATAGCTACCACCATAGCTATCAGTATTTTAAAATTATACAGTATTTTATCTAGTACATTGCAGGGCTAATTATCTTTCATATTATCATTAACCTTTTTTACCATCAGTTCCCTCTTTTCATCACAAATTCACAAAATAGTCCTGTTTTTAGTCAATTTCCTTCAGAAGATTGAGACAAAAATAGTCAAATATTTTGAGTTAATACTAAAAATTGACTCAAATTTTGTCAGTTGGCTCCAAAATTAGGATTAATTTCCAGAAGTATGGAAAATAGTGCAGAATAATTTTGGAGAGAAAGCCTGGCCATGAAAAGGTTAAACAATCTAAGGTTGGTTTAGCATAAGCAGCTGCTGATCATACAAGAAGGTGGTCATCATCACATGTTGAGTTAAATATATTGTTTACAACAAAATTCAAATATTGCTGTATGACAACCACCAGCCTTTAAGACATGCCACTCAATGAATGTGGACATTGTTTCAAATGCATGATAGAGGCAAATGTTAGCAAGACTTGCTTTGGCAGCGTGTCAAACTTATATACACTTGTACAGTAACAGGGGTATATGCATTTCTCATTTAGCAAATATGGTATACACGGATCATATCGCAATTCAAAATGTTATTGCATTGTGGAATAGTTTTGACTTTATTGTACAGTGAACAAACAACTCCATCAATCACAAATAAACCCACTTTTGCACCCTGAACTAACTATCCCATATAAAAAATAAACTATAAAAAATAAAAAAAGAATGAAAAAAAAACTATCCCACAATAATTATAAAAAAATAAAATAATAAAAATAAATAAAAAAAAAACAGAATTAAAAAAAAAATTAAAATTAAAAAAAAAACTATCCCACAATGCACTAAAATGTGGAATTGTGATATGGTACTATGGATAGCATGAAGTCAACTTACCTGGGCTGTGCATGTGCTGTTTACAACTATTAGGTGATTGCTGTTCTATTAGCAGAAATGTAATAGTGCAAGATATAAAAAGAACACTTTGTACAATGGTTATAGAGGCAGAGTATGAGAGATACAGCATAACATCTTATGGATGGTTCTGATAACATTTTAATGTACCATATTTACTCTATTTGTAGTGGTGTTATTCAAAAGTATTTAACAGAATCAAAGTGACTGGTATCTGTATTACTCTTACTGTATACAAATTACAGAGGTGAATCTATTCTCAAAAAAATAATATTTCAAGGATATAGCATAAAATAAATGCGTTGTTTGGATCCTATGCACATTTATTTGAGATGTACATCTAATAGAGCAAATATAATATTATTTTAGACAATCCCTCTAGTTAAGAAGAGATTTGTGACAATTTGCAAGCATATTTCACTGGATTTTATTTTCAGTGGTCATTCCTTCAGTAAAAATAAATTCCAAGTGAAGTATTTGACAGTACAGGATAGAAGTGCTATTGGGCTAGCATGCATAGTATAAGAGTCTCTCATAGGCAAAGTGAGATGCTATACTTTTATGCAGAGATTTCTCTATTATACCAGTTTAAGTTTGAATGTCAAAATGTACAGCTAAAATGTGAAAATTGCACATTTATGTCTGAAACCAAAGGTCTGAAACCATCTATTATCGGTAGATAAGGTACACTGAACAATACCACATCCAATCTTTCATTGTGCCCATTTAAAACCATTCATGTGATTCATCTCAAACAAGTTAAATTTAATATCTATCGGCTAAAGGCAAGATTTCATTGCACACCAATTGACTTGTTTGAAACAACTGCCATTGAAATGTACCATTGTAGATAGATAATAGATGATCATCATTGTGGTACAGATAGTGCTGTATCATCTGATTGTGTTCATTGACACACCCACCCACTGCGATATGCAAGTATTGGCATTGTCAGAAACAATAAACCATGCTATATATAGTGTATCAGTATTAATTGTAGAACACAGCTACACACAGATCAGATATGAAAAGTATCTGGCATGCTGGGAAAAATAAACATAACAATATTAAATAATAATTAACAATATTTGTTATTTGAAGTGGAAATCAATCCTATTATATACATCCATATATGGGCATACCATGCATTATCATAGAGCTGTATATTAGCTGTATGTGAAAGAAATTTGTCAGTTTTTCTAAGACAGAAATCAAACAAAACAGACTTTTGGGAACAAATATTTGAAAACCTAGTTTTACAGGATGTCACTACGCAGCTAATATACGGTTAGAGCGATGCGTAATACCAATGTGCACATGCAACACATGACGATAAATTGATGCATATCAAAACACGACATATATTAGTTTGGTTATCAACCATTATCACCTAGTTATCACATATTATCAACCAGTGTAAACTACCAATGACTTACTTTCAGGTAGTGGTTCAAAATCATTTACATGAATACTCCCATGATCAGAGATGTATTCATATGTTATTAAAGTTGGTTTTCCTAAATTGATATTTATATGGAGAGAAAGTTGATTAGTTACAGTCAAACCTTCCTAATTTATGGTACAACAGGCAACTGGGTTCTATATAAGCCAGCAATTGTTGAAAATTCATGATCAATTTCCTATATCACAAAACATGCCTGGTGAACATTCATGACTGATGAATATCTATGAGTGATTCCATATATGGTAGTATAGTATAAGTACAATGATGAATATTCATGAGTAATTCCATATATGGCAAAAAACATATTTTATGAATATTCATGAGTAACTGCATATATGGTAACCCATGGCTGATGAATATTCATGACTGAAAACACATATGGCAAGATTGATGGATATTTATAATTCCTAATTTAAAAATAAATGTCTCATGAATTTCAAATATAGAATGTCTGAAGATTTAATGACTTAAATTACTATTTGGTGAATTCTTGGCACAGTTGAATGAACAACATCTAGTAGGAATTTGAACTCCATTGTCAACATTGGCACCATCTATAAAACTATTTTGTATAGTCTGCTCCGCATGGAATGTTGGTAAGAATTTAAAAATCTTTTGATCAAAATCTGAAAACAACATCTAAAACTGCTTGTATGCTCCAAAATTATGAAAAAATTTACTGAAAATTTTACAAAACTTAAAATATTTGCAGAATATGGGCGGGGAAAAAATTTCTGGCACTCAAAGGATTAAAGAAAGTATATTTGAAAAAATCATTACATAATGCTGTAACTAAAATACACACAAATTGAATCATGTTGGGACACAAATCACAGCAATCAGAGTTCACTGCAAAAAATATACTCCCACAGGGATGACACATTGAGATTGAAAACACATTAAATGAAATGCATGCACATTGTAAATAGTAAACAAACTTAAGGTAAAGTCATTATAAATTCAGGAATGTAAAAATGCTTTATCTATGGAGTCAAGAAACACAGCAAGACATGAGACTGAATTAAAGTCAGTTACATACATCGCTAAAAGAGAGTTTATGAAGAGGAAGATAGACAGTCAGCTGTGAAGAAACTAGAAATACAGAGATTAGACCTTGATAAGGAGTTTAATATTTATAATTCCAGATGATGCCCTGTCTGAACACAGGCATATTGAAATGAGAAAACAGAAAATTTCCAAATATGTGACACCCACCCCCCAAAAAAACTTTCACACTCGAACAGAAGTTAATTTGCATAAATCCAGACATGCTTACAAACAAATGTACAGCCTGGACTCATACCACAACCAACCTCTTCAAACATACCCTATAACTGTGTGAGAAATATAACAGTTCAATCTGAATAGTTCAAAGAATAGAACACTGACTTATTACACACAGACCTTCTGATGGAGAACACAAGAATACCAGAGTAGATATGACATGCATAATATAACAGACAAAATTAAAGATAATTACTATTAAGCATGTCTTACCAATTTTACTTGAATTTGATTTATGTTTGTTTGTGGATGAGTTACCAGCTGATGCGTAGAAAAAGAATAGAATTTAGAATTTAAAGTGACAGCAATAACCACCAATGTAGTCGTTGCAGTTTATGGATTAAACTACTACCGGTACGATAGTAATACTTAACACTGGTATTTCATTTCTCTGTTGTGATGTTTTGATCCTATTTCCTGGGTTTGATAATTGTAGGAAATCTGAACTAAAATGTTACAATTCCAACATGTCTGAATGTTTCCGATCATTTCAGTTTACCAACATTCATGTCTGTTCCAAAAAACTGCAGCCGAGCAGTACATGATGTCATTTTGGAATAAAGATAAATTCTAATTGGTTTTAGCGTTTTGACTTTTAAACATGTAGAATTAAATATAACACATACCATATTAATTCCAATATCACTATAAATCTAACATAAAAATGATCTCAGAGTGAATATATTTTTTCACAATAAAGTTAAGAAAATACCACAGTATATACAAACAGACAGCTTTGACCTATATAATGGTTGATGTGATAATACCATTGTACATAATATGAGGAAATTATGAGAATACAGCAAAGTATGCACAAAGGCGGTACAGTGATCGCATCCACAGACATGTAGCAGAAGTCGTTGTGTTCCTGCACTGCCTGTTGCTTTCAGTGTCAATATATAATACCAGGAAATAATATATATTTCTTGTGGAGATTTGGGATTCCTGTACCACCTTATCTAATATTCAATACTTGTAGTAGAAAGCAAACAACAAACAACATGCATACTGAAATATTTCCTAAAAATTATATTTGTTTAGTCTTAAGATGAAATAAAAAGTTTCAAACTAAGTAATATAAGACTGTCGAAGAAACAAGGTCCAGTAAGAGTACACAGATTTGAAATTGGAAGTAGATTGCATGCAGGGTATACTACCTCTACTGCACCATAGAAACAGTATGTACCATACTACATGCATTACTGGTAATATCAAATCACTCAAAACCAACTCAAAGTATACTTAACATATCATGAATGTACAGCTTGAACAGAACATGTGTGTGATTTCTGATATCTGTTTATTATCAAACAATGTACTATGTTTCTGTTTTATTATTGTTTATCCAGTCATGTGACTATATCAGTACACATGCTGTTGCATATAAGGTTATAATGAGAAGACCAGAAAGTATGTACAAAGGCAGTACAGTGATTGTAATGAACAACCTGCATCAGAGGTTGATGCAACCCCATACTGCCTAAGTGCATACTTTGCAGTTATCTTGGATAACCTTATAATTATTATACATCTTTTTCCTGCTTGTAGTAATAATTTAATGAGAGAGTATAGCCCATAATGGCAACACAAAACGTTTTGCGCTGTGTAAGAATTTTCATTCTCCTCGCCTAGTGCTAATACGACTTCTGCATTGATTGTGAATAAAACAACCTATCCCATAATCCTTTGCAAAATCCAATATGGAGTTAACACATTTCATTCATATACTAATATTCCCTACAGTAGACAGTCAGAAATACAGTGTTCCCTCAAATTACATTACAAAGATAGAGTATGATGCAATAGGAATTCTACATATATACGTGCAAGATTGTTATTAACTACTATTAAGACATTAAATCTTACCAGCAGTTCCTTTGTCACTGGGGTTACTTATACTGTTCTGAAGTACTCCTTTTACAAAAATATTAAAATACAAAATATAATATACAATACAATATTCAATGTAGCGCATTATGAAATATTGAGAAATCAGATGTTCTGAATGGAAATATTGACAAATCAGATGTTCTGAATGGAAACATGCAAAACTGGAAGTTAGGACGGGATCACATCAGCTATAAAGTAACATACCACAACCAATAAACAATTACACCTTCCAAGAATAAATAACTGAATCCCAGAATTCAAAGTACATGCCTGAATCTAAAATCTACAGACACAATATTTTTGGTCATGCCATGCAAGTAAGATTTGTATTACTCTTACCAGCGCTTTCATAGTCACTATGTTCACTAGGGATACTGGTATCTTTATGAGTTCCTTTTACAAAGACATTAAAAAATAGAAACGATAAGCATCAATATGCAAATCAGAGCAAGAAATATTCAACACTGCATGCATTCCAAACCACAATGTAATAACTTAGAGAAGAATTCAAGAAAAAAAAAAGCATGCAACAGTGAATGAATTGAATGTGTTCAGTTGCAACTTACAGGATAGTTAAATTTTGGTGTAAAATTCAAGAAATTTCGTGGAAAACAAGAAAAATCCAGAAGTCACTTGACAATGACTACCGTATCTTATGAGCAGTGACAGCGTAACACATCAACACTTGGACAAGAATCATGGACAAGAATAATTAATTTACAGACAAACATAAATATACATGTATTACAAAATAAAACAAGAATAAAACTTGCGATCATGGCAAGTATCCAGCCAGAACAGCTACATGTGCCATCTACCACACCACACTCACTGTCCTAAAAAGCATAACTGCTAAAGTTCAAGAAATAATACTTTGTTTTCTGACTATGTTACGTCTACATTAAATTCAACTTTAAATTCTATTTAATCACTGTGACAGAAACTATAATGAATCTCAATAATAAACATTTTACTATTAGAGCTATTTGACTGACCACTTGTTTCTACCTACTTACATCAAGAGACTAATAAATAACACTTAATATGAGAGACTAAGAGGAGAGCTTGGAAGTCTCATTATAGATTATAATGTCATACATGGTACACATTTGATAAAAATTCAATATTTACAAAAACTGAAAATATTGTGAAAGCAGTAAATAATCACTGGTTTCTTTATTGTTGCCTAAGAGTGAGTGACAGTGAGACCTAGGGTTCTCTCATGGATGGATGGATGCCAGACTGTTTACATTTTCCATAAATGAAAACAATTCAAATGTGGTATTTTGTTAATGACCAATATACAGGAATTGTCATAGATGGATTATTCAAAGTATCCTGCTAGTTATAGGCTTCATTTTCTTTTGAAATTTCCATATTTTTCATTATTTTCGATTATTTATGAATATTTTTTAGTGGTACTTGCTGCATATGAGTACTTGTTGTTAATAATTCAAACTTAAATCAGATTGTCAAATTCAATGTAGTCATGAAAGTATTTCAATTCATTCAAGGCATATGTCTTTGATATTGGATACCTTGGAGCCTCTACCTTGTACATGACCACAAGCCATCCCTAAAAGAGAACCCTAACACTATGTAGATATCTGTTCCTTATAACATAATATTACATTGTATTTTATCTACCACCTTGTGCAGTGGGGTAGTGTATTTGAAAATAAGACAAAACTATAATTGAATAGTCTAGGAATAAAACATTTATTGAAAGTGTGATTTGTCATACAGACAAATATTTTAATGTTCAATTATTTTACATAGATAAATTACATGTGCTATAATCAGACAAATATTTGAAAATAAATAAATAATGTGTTTATATTAGTTGGATGGGATACTATGGATCACTAGGAAGGTTGGAAGGAGTTCAACAAGCACACACTATAATTCATTCTTCATCTAATACAGATACACATTCTGATGTACCATGGATTAGTGGGAGATTGATGTACTTAAAATTTTACCATTTTTGACTCATAGCTTTTTGCTTACTGCTAACTAACTCCCAATAATGGGGAAGAAGAGTCTTTCATTGCTTCTGAGCACCTGGAAACCCAATAATGGGAAAGGAGTGTTTCACACTGCCTCAGGCCTCCTAGAAACCAAATATTAGGGAGTGTGGAACCCTCATTTTGGGACAAGGAGTCCTAATTTATATGAACATTATCATCGCAACATGCTTCACATGCTAAACACTATTCCTGCGTATGACTCTGTATACAGTATTAGTTTTGTGGATCTTGAGTTCCACTTTTTGATAAATTATGAGAATATAAAAACCTGACAATGCAAGAATTTTGAGTATAAAGAACTTCTGAATGAGAAATATCTAAAGAGTCCACCTCAATTAAGGAGATTTCTAGTCTATTGGTTTATGGCCCATGAGGTGGATCTGAACTTCTGAATGGGAAATTGTTAGAAATATCTAAAGAGCCCACCTCAATTAAGGAGATTTCTAGTCTATTGGTTTATGGCCCATGAGGTGGATCTGAACTTCTGAATGGGAAATTGTTAGAAATATCTAAAGAGCCCACCTCAATTAAGGAGATTTCTAGTCTATTGGTTTATGGCTCATGAGGTGGATCTGTGCATTCTGGTTGGAGATCAAAATAAAAGGTAGTCCCAGAATAATAAGTTCTGAGGAAGTAAACCAGGAAGTGAAAAATTACGTCACAGTTAAAGACGTTAGCTAACTTACACATTTGAATTTATTTGTTTCACGCTTTTAAAAAAAGGATTTTTTTATAAGGATGAAACTTACACAGTATCACACACACACACACACAAGAAATGGACAGATCAATGCAGGAAAAAGTCAACAAGACTATAGGAATAAACGTGCTAAAAGTAAAACGGAATTCGGGTGTGAACAAATAAAATTGCATACAATGGGAAGGTGATGAGGGGTATTATGGGAAGGTGGTGAGGGGTATTATGGGATGTTTTTTGTGAATTCAACACTTAACAAAAATACGTGCGAAGTCAAATTTTTTTTCATCTCACCCGAAGTTGGTAAATAGACATCGGCATCATCATCTAACCAACGAACACCTTTAGATGCTGGGAAAAACAAAGCGACAGCTTAACATGATAAAATAATATGATTGCCTTTAACACATAAAGTAGATTGGGTCATGAACCAAATTCAATAGTTACGGTATTTGCAAGATATTCAAATTGAATCTTGGTTGATTTTGCCGCTCAGTGACCAAAGTTATTATTAGTGTGAACAGCCTATATTCCTGTTATGCATTGCTGCTTCAAATTCAATTGACGTATTAAATACAAAGTGTTTGAAATTTGTTCAGCCGGGAGAGGCAACAGGAGAAAAAAAAATATAGTTGTGATTGTTAAAATCCTGCAATTTGGTAAATTAATGATACCCTAAGTTACTGAAAACTATCACAAATGAGTCTATAAAAACGGTTGGTAATATTTTGACTATTGGCAAAGCTGATGCCCTGAATATCTTGCAAATAACATAATTGTTGAATCTTGTGTGACCCATTTTACTAAATATGCCAAAGATTTCTAAAGAAAACACAATAAAGCTTTAAAATGTTGTATTGAAATGAGTGAAATGACACTATGTAACGAAAGCAATGCATTTTCAGCCACTAGAGGGCGCTGTCACCGTGAGGAGTTGCCACACTGAAATAGATCACATTCATGCAAGTTGAAAAGCATTTATAACTTATTGTTATAATACACCTGAAATTAAATACAAATGTGTTTTGTAAGCTTTTTCCACCAGTCTCAATTTATATTTGCTGGAAAGCTTTTCTTTTTTAATATGTTAATGTGACATACAACATATATAACCACTTTTCAGTCAGATGCATTTGTAAAACCCTGTTTCAAATTAAATGAAAAACAACGATTTTAAAACAAGTTCAATAACATCTATAGTCATTGGCTGATTACATATTACTAGGTACAAACACCTGTTAAACAACCAATCAGGTGAAATGTTACTCAGCAATTGATTGAATCTTCTTCTGCATATCTGCCTCTGATAATGAAAACCAGAAAAGAAAAAAAAAACAATTAAAACTATTATAATGTAAGTGTATATACCTTTTCTCTTGGGTTTAGGTTTTGGTGGTTCTTCTTTCCGTTTGTAATGCCAGAACTCTGGCCTCTTTATAACTTTCTTTTTCCTATTCTGATCCTGCCTGGGAGCTGGAGTCCTTGTCATGTGTGCATGGAACCGAGCACACGGCAAATGGGGGAATTCTTCAAATTGCGGCTAGAAGAGGACAAGAAATGCAGAAGATTAACAATGAAAATACTTATTGTTATTAACTTCATGTCTATATAAGAAAAAATAGAAAAACTCACCACATAATGGTACAATCCTCTGTCATATAGATTAGCACCTTGACTTATTTTACAATATAACCCATCCCCGTCATCCTGAAATTAAAACAGAAAAAAATAAATGTACAGAGCTTATAAATGAATCATTAAAATCTGACTATTTTGATTATACATACATTGCTTATTATTTATGATCACAACTAACACACTTTTTGGACATGAATTTTCTGAAACTATCATTTTTGATTAACTGGGATACATTATGAAGAACATTTTACTACTACCAGAAAATGTTGTGGTAATTCGCGATAATAAAAGTAACAAGTTTAAGCATATGAATAAAAAGATTATATTTTGATTGATTCTATATTAAACAGAGGTTCACTATAATTAAAAAAAAATCCCAGATAATCAAACATTTGCCATGATTTTATCTGGCATTGGTTTAGCAGAATGTTCATGTATACCGCACAGTGACCGGTGATAAAACTGTGTAGATTTGTTATGGTATCGGTAAATGTAGTCACTCATTAAAGCGAGAAGGTGTCACCTGCGCACATGCGGGAATTGAGTTCCAAGCAAGGATAAAAACACACTAAAAATACAAAGGCTCATAGGTAGCCGCTTGTTTGTAAACAGCGACACACTGTGACCATCTGACACATACGTACGTGACAACTCCCCCGCTTTAAGTAAATGCATCCACTACCATAATAACATAATAATTTAATTGCCACAGAAACATTAAACATTAAAGTTGTCATTGATTTTACTCGTTGTACCTTCTTTATTTTTTTCTCTGACTAAAATTGAAATGAAAGCTGTGGGATTCCCACACTCCCATGACTCATGACCCAGTGACAATTGTTATGAGTCCACACCCAATTGTCAAAACTCTGTCTACGCCTAAAAAACTCTACAAGAATAATTGCATAGAATACACATTTGACAATTAAGACACAATTTGCAATGTCTGTATTTTTTGAAAGTAAAAAAAACACCTTATAGAAATAACTGTATGCAAATCAACGTCAGCCTTGCAAATGAACTGCATGTCAAATACACAATACATATTTTTGAGTACAATTTTCCTTTTAAAATGTGGATGCAATGCTTTGCCTGTTCTGTATTTTTGCATTATTTTTGTTTTGATAACTTTAGACGAAACAGACATAATTTTCTAACGGCTTCAGAACTTGATCAAATGTTTGGCACCCAAAGGAGTGTTTATATCGATTATCTGACATCTTGTTTTCTGTTAAGATATGTAGTTCTCTCAAAACCCAGTTTACTATTCACATGTGATTTAGGAGATACATTTCCAATGATATTGATTACAAGATAAATGATTTACTTCATTGAATATGTACAAAAATGCATCAGTAAACAGTCAAGTAGATTTTGACTACTACTTTCTAAATTTTTGCATGATATTTTCACACACGGAAGATTTTATATTGATGAATTAGGCGACTAAGTTTGATACAGTTTAGAATAGAATTAGTAAAGTTATAGTGTACACATTAACAATTATTTACAACGACGCAGTCAACAACAACAACAACAGACATTTTTCCCTTTTTATACCTCTTCCTTTCATCTTTGATGACACAGGCAAGGTAATCAATGATGAAGCAGTTTATTTTGCAATTTAAATTTCCCAAAGAGATCTAATATTCCCTCCAATCTGGCATACAGTAAACTAACCCCCTAAAACAATTATGTAAGCCAATCAGTAGGACAAGTACGGTAAATGCATATGCAGATTTATTTCGTAATAGATAAAAAAAAGTTCATAATAATTCATGGTTTGAATTAATTTTAGGAATAATTTATGACGTAATTTATTGTAGCCATTGGCAACTGGTGAAAGGTCAGTGGTAGTCCAGGTTCTATACATGTACCAGTAACTTCTTACCAACAACTTATTTTATTGAACACAAACAAATCTACAGAAATAAATCAAGCGACCTGGTGATCAAAATATAGTTCCGCTGTCCTACAAGAACATTGTGGTAGCCTCGTTATAATGTACATGTACACCTCAAATATCAAAGCAATTGGTTTGGTAGTGTTCAAGAAGAAGTTGAAAATACCATTTATTATCAAAAATCTGACACAGGTCCACCAAAGGCACTTACATAGCAAGTATCAAAACAATGGAGCAGGTAGTTTTCAAGAAAAAGTCAAAAATGCAATTGGGCGGACTGACGATGAGCGATGATGGGCAGTCACCTATATGAGCAGCTCTGCCCTGTCATCTATTATGACAGTGGAGCTAAAGTGTGCTGAAATAAAAGCAGCAAACTGTACAAATATGCAGCTGTCCTGGAATTGCAGGAAATTTCATTTTGTTGTCAGTTTGAAGTACTCTTCTCTACGCAATCAGAGAAGACAACGATAAATGAATTGCATTTCTATTTATAGATTGTAACAATTTAAATAATTTGTTTAATAAATGAATATTAATAATTAGTGACAGGCAGCTATTATAGTTTAGTGGTGCATTCATAATTAGATTTCAAATATTAATGGAAGGCTATCATGTCAACACTATAACAACATAAATAATAAATGAACTTAGTTTCATAAATATTAAGATTTTATAAAATATAATAAATTAATTGAATACAGGCTCTGATTTTTAATTAATTGCAACTATTTTGATAGCATAAAACTGAAGATAAATTATTTTTATTTAGCGATTAAACAAATAGTTTATACATACATACATGTACGTAAATGTTTTTCTATAAATATTGGAATTAGTTTATACGATTATGCAAATAAAAATAAAAATATGGTTTTACTAAATCTATTCTATAGCTAATAGACATGTTAAGCAATATATCCCCTGGTATACCACATATACATGTAGTATATATATATGAAACAAATGACTGCAGATTAGTTTGTATACACATATGTCATGTTTCTATGCAATTATGATTTTAGCTGAAAACAACTGAAGAAATAACCAAAGAATAATCATCTGCAATTATATTCATTGTAATCATACAATCATATCTGTAGTATAATGCATTAAACTGTAAAAATACTTTATTTTAGCTGGAATTAACAAGACTTTTGGGGTGTTTTGTAAAATATAGGACAAAAAGGTATATTCAATGGATTTTATTTGCACTGAATCATTCCTTCATCTAAAATAGCAAAAATGAATTTCATAGTATGCATCTGCTGGTTCAACCAATGAGAATAGTGCATTCAAACATGTGATTTTATGTACATACCAGTATATAGAGGTTTTATGGTCAAAATATAAATTAATATTTCAATGATTCAGTGTACACCAAAAGTTATTATCAGTTTATATATAATTATATTAGAGATTGATTATAATAGAGTAAATACTGTAATTTAAGAAATGAGAAACATACAGGTAGATATGAAAACACATACCATATTTTCTCTATTGGTAGCGCATGTACTTACATTGTACGTAAATGAGAATGGTTTGGGACTATGATAAAAGATGTAATATTTGAATGATCCAGTATACAATTAATATGCACTTCTATTGTCAATATTGTCAGTTTCCTCTTACAGTGAACATCTTCTTCCTACACCTGGTTATAACAGGATATGTTTATTTATATGAATTATTAATGACAAATCATGCCAATATTTGTACAATTATTTGTAAGACTTACAGAAGTACATTTATGATAGTGAAAAAAAGGCCTGTATGATTTTTATCTTTACAATTTAAATTTTTAACTATTTTTAAAACTCTTTTCATCACACCCAGATATATTCATACATAGTTTACAAATTCGTCACTCTGGAAATAAATATATGGCAACTTTTCAAATAAGTTCCCAGAAAAGCAAATTGATTGATTATTCACACAAACAAATATTTTTATTTGAGAAGTTTTTGATGAAATTTCAAGAGTTCTCATAGTGACATATGCCCTGCTCTCACAGTGACATATACCCTATAGCGGTATACAGCATGATGTATGAAGTTGTGTTTTTCTATGTGGTCGACTTCAATTATTTCATGGTGTTATCATATCATACTTTAGTATTTTACAGTTACCCAAAAATGTTTGAATTTACACAAACAGCCAAGCACTGTTTTCCATAATTCAGAATAGCTGGTGGGTGACATAATTTGCATAAATTTGCATACATGTATCATATTATATTCTATTATTCGTAATAATGTTACATGTTACAAACCGAATACCTGCTCAGTTTTTGTTTGTTTTTACTTTTAATTGAAACATGTCAACAATCTTTTTAAAATACAAACAAATGAATATTATAATGTGTAGTCTTGAATATTATTGTTTTTCACAATGCTCGTTTCAGATTCAGTGATTTACACATTCTCAAAAGAATTTTTTGGTATTAGTACACACATGAAATTACAATACCATCATCTACATTGTGTTTTACAGAAAGTTGTGGAATACAAGAACAAGCAGCCTGTCGGCTAAGATAGCTCTGCTGTTAGCAATGCACATTTCGTTTAAAGAAGATATCCTTAGAAAATGAACAATATGTATAGTATCAAAGACTTGCTGTTTTCAACAAGAATTACCTTTCACCAAAAAGACGAAAATATTATAGAATTGAAGATATCATCATGAAATGAACAAATCTAAGAGTGATTACCTAAATGTATAATATCAAAGCAATTGGGCTTGCGGTTTTTAGCAAGAAGTGAAAGTATCACTTGTGGCAAAATACAAGTATATACATTCTCAAAAATTTCGCCAAAAAGAATTGATAAATTGAAAAAATATGCGGAAAGAAAAACATAATATATTTTTTATTCAATTGCAAACAGTCATGATCAACTAACCCAGCAGCCATATTGGATTTTTTTCCACTTACTACACTCATTACATAAATTCCCAGTATGCACTGCTCCCCAATGCACCTTGGATGCTACATGTAAATCGTTATAGTGTCAACAGATGCTGGCCTCTGAATGAGGTAGGTCATCATCAGTTTGCAGTTTCACCATGAAAATTCACGACCAAGCGTTCTAAATACATGTACGGCTAGAATTGTCATATCTGTTTGAGTTTACAAGCAATGTTTTAAGAATTTGTTTTATTTTAG